TTTGTTCACAATAGCAAAGAGATGGAAACAACCCAAGTGCCCATCAACAAATGAATGGATAGAGAAGCTGTGGTATAGTCACACAATGGAATACTATGCTGCACTGAAAAATAAGGAACTCATGTAATATTATACAAAATGGATGACCCTGGAGGACATTATGCTGAGTGAAATATCTCAGTCACAAAAGGACAAATATGGCATAATGCCACTGTTATAAAATAGGACTGGCATGAGGGCTGGGGGAAAACTAAGAAAAGAGGGGGGATAAATAATCTATATGGCATTGAAACAGATGAGGGAAAGAACTGTATAAAAAAATATATGATTAGGTATTATTGGCATGACAAGAGTCCAGAATAAGAGCTGCATAATAAAGTAGTCTGGGGTTGGGGTGGGAGAATATATAACAAAGAAAGAACTTTTTTCCCAAAGAAAAAGGCGATCTGGTGGGGAAGAAGGGCAGGGAGGAAAATGTGCAACAATGAATGATTAGAAACCCAAGTTCTTTATAAACTTTCATTAAAATCTGAATTTAAAAAAAAGCTTTGTTTTATAGAAATTAATTCTGCCTGATTTTATTAGACAGTTATTTAAATTTTACTTTTTAAAGAACTTAACATAAAATCAGAAACATGTTTATAGCATAATTTTTTTTTTCAAATTTGGAGACTCTTTTAGAACTATTAATACCTCTTTTTTTTGTGCGTGTACCGTCAAATTGGATCTGACTGGTACAGGAGGCGACTGTTCCTCCTTCTTCAGCAGAGCATCTGGTGGTTTTGAACTGTGCACTTCTGGGATTGCAGTGCAGTTTCCTGCCACTAGGCCACCAGAGCTCGCCAGAACTATTAATACCTCTTGCAAGAAAAAAAATCTGTTAGGATGTTAGCAATTCCTTTAGTTTCCACTGCCTTTCTCTTTCTTCTGTTAAGTTTAATAAATACAGTAAGTGTTTCGAATTTTTTAAAAAAAAATCAATGATACATATTATTACATGGTAAGTAAGATCAAGGGTGATTAGCAGTTTTCTAAAATTTTACTGTATGTTTCAAATTTTCAATCATAATTATTTGGAAAACATGTTATTTAAAAGAAATTGTGGGGAGCTCTGGTGGCCTAGTGGCAAGAAGCTGCAACTACAATCCCAGAGGTGCACGGTTCGAATCCACCAGATGCTCTGCCGGGGAAGGAGGGGCAATCTCCTCCTGTACCAGTCAGATCTGATTTGACAGTACACGCACACAAAAATAATAAAATTTAAAAAAAAATAAATAAAAGAAATTGCAAGTCTGAAAAGTTTAAAAAAATATTAACTAAAAAAAATGAATTTTACAAATTGCCACATAGGGCAGAACACCGCCAGCCTAGGAAGGATTTCTTCCCCATTTCAGTGTAAGCTGCTAACGTCTGTGGCCACAAACATTTAGCTGTAATTGTTAATATATCTGGTTTCTTCACAGGAACGTGAGTTCCCCTAGGGCAGGGCAAACATCACCATGAATTCCTTGAGCACCTACTATAGTGCCAGCCATAAAGCATTCTTTTAATAATGGGTGATAAAGATTGAATGGACTCCTTTCTTACCTTCTAATGCATCATCTTCAACTTCTTCATATGTCTGTCAAGAGACCAGAGAGGTGGGTGAGATACATGGTAGAACCCTGACTCATGACTTTTTACTAAGAGGAAGTTGGTTTGATGCTCACATTTCCCTTCTTACCAAGCCCATCCTGGCGAACAACCCACATCCCCAGAGGATGGCATAACCCAAGCGAGCCAGATTTCACAATCACCGTACCTGCATGGTGCTCTGTGTATAGCCATACTGGGGGTAACTATAGCTGTAGCTGCCTGTATTCTGGTCGTAGCCCCACTGAGCATAGTAGTTCTGGTACTGCTGATAATACTGGTTATAACTGTAACTGTACATCTGGCTGTACTCCACAGGCTTCACACGACTCCTTACAATAAAGAAAAATTAAACAAGCAAAAGAAAAAGAACCAAGCAAACATGTAACTGTGTGTGTGGCTAGGGACAGTACTTTATTTATTCCTCAAGATAACTTTATGTAGTAAGTATGCCACTATTTCTATTTATAGGTAGGTAATCTGTCAAAGTCACACAGGCAGAGAACTAAAACCTAGGCAGTTAGGACCATGCTTATTTAAGACAGGAGCTTCTAATGGTTTGGCTGTTCTTTCCTATTAAACCTTACCAGGTTTCACTCTTTCAAAGTAGGGGAAGGAGTTATTTTTCTTCAGACCCAAAGACTCAATTAAACACAGCCAGAAAAATTGTTATTAGGATGATTTCAAACTACAAAATACCAAATCAGACCTTCCAGGAAAAGTAATATGCAATAAAGAGTTGATTAGAGCCTTTTAAAAATAATTTATTATATTTTTCAATGGCAATTAATGTTATTGAAAAACCAATGATGTGTGAACCTTCATTCAATAACTACAAGAGGAAAATATATGAAAAAAAGAAACAGCTTCCAATTAGCCTTATTGTCATCATTATAATTGTGGCTCCCACTCATCAGGCAGTAAACTTAAGATTTCTGCCAATCATCGCATGCATCGTTTCCTATCCTAAATCGGATATAGCTGTTACTGTTCCCCCTACACTGATGAGAATTCTGAGCCTCTATAGAATTACATGATAGCTCCTGTTCTGACAAACTCAAGACTTCTTTTCACTTCCTCAGGCCAGCATCACCCATCAGGGCTGAGCTCAGCAGGAAGTTTGTGTCCCTAGACTACCTGGCTCCCTTATCTGCTGCTAATCAAAAGCAGAATGTAAGTCAGCAAAGAATTCATTTCTGTCAAAACCATAAAGCCACAGTGAATAAGCTTATGAATAGGCCTGGGACATGACAAGAAAATCTTGCTGAGAGGAACCAACAGAACATAATCTAAGCTCAGACTACCACAATGCACTTCCAGAAGTGTACTTGAGACCAAAGGGTCTCTTGTGGGTGCACAGTGTTATTCAACAGAGACAGGCTGACATCACCATGATATCCGCTTGTTCCTTTAAAAGGAGACTCATAGCGGTCATACATTTTGGCAGTGGCTTCATGACTGGTGTATTTGATCTAAACAGTCAATCCAGAAAGAAAACTCCACTATACAGGAACTGAACTACTACAAAAATCCTTACAAATCCCTACAAAGAATGCTCAAAGTCTTAAGGAGCTCTCCTCAGGGCCAGTCAAGTACCATACAAGTTAAAAACTTGTCTGGTGAGCAGGACTCAGCCAGAGCATTAGATGAAGTCAATGCCTGATGCCTCAGACAGCCTGTTTGTTCAAAAGCTGACAGTAGGTGCACTGGCTCTGACTCCCTCTTCCCCACCCAGTACCAGTTTGGGTACTAATACTGTCTCTATGACTCCCTCCTACAATTCAAGGATGTCCAGTTTCCCTGCTTTTGATCTATGCAGGTAACTGAATGTACATTCTCTCACAGGTCTGGACCAGGGTTTGTTTCCCCCAGTAAATACATTTCTGTTCTGTTCTTCTACACACAGCTCTTAAAGTCTAACTTTCAATGGGCACTCACAGTATTCTTATTTACTTGGACTTAAGGGCAACTTATCACAGGCAGCTACCAAATACCACAAATGCATTCAACAAAGAAATCAATGTAACAGTATAAGCTCCTTAAGAGGGGATTGTATTTTTCTTGTTATCTAAAGATGATCATTGGCAGCAGGAGTGGCATCTACTTCCTAAAAAACATGCTTAACTCTATGACTTTTGATAAATGTTGATAGTTGTAGAGGGGCTTCAGGCCTTTTGTTCATAGGATCACTATGAGTGGTGCTCCACTGGAAGGCAATCAACAACAAAGATGATCAAGGACTGAAATGCTAGCTGATGCTGAGTAAATAGCAACAAATCAGAAACAACCAAAATGTCCAGCTTCAGAAGAAATTTTAGACAAGACATACATACAAAAGAATATTATAGTTATTGATAAACTATAATGATGAGGGTTGTATAACTAAAAAATGTGTATACTAAATTAATTAGAAGTTAGGAAAGGAGGAGTAAGCTTTTGTAATTGAAAATTAATGAATAAACCATTTATGTGCAAACTGACCCATATATAGTAAATATATTGCAAAAAATGGATGTATATACAAAAGTCAGGATGGTAATCAAGGAAATTTCTTTCTTTTGAATAATTTGGTTTAGGAAGAATGCTGTTAGACTAAAGTATAAATTCCTTAATTCACACTGTTAATTTTCACCTTGACTATAATAAAAAGAAAAAAAATTAAAAATTGGTATACTCTTTTAATGTACGCGCCGTCGAGTAGAGTACAACTCACAGCAATCCTATGAACAAAAGATCTGAACCCTGTCCTCTATCCTATGCCATCTTCACACTTTCTGACACACTAGAGCCCACTGTGACAGTCACTATGTCAATCTCCCTGGTCGAGGGTCTTATGAGCTTAAAATGACAACATTTTAGGGAAATTCACAACCACCTATGTTTGGAAGCTGGAGTGGCATGCCTCCAGAATCTCTATGAACTTTGATAAATGTCTACAGTTATAGAAAGGCTTTAGGCCTTTTGTTCATAGGGTCACTATAAGTCGTGTTCAACTCGAAGGCAATCAATGACAACATGTACCGAAAAGATAAACCACAGACCCTCAAAGCTTTTGTTGCTTTAAAAAGTATGGCCATTTTAGGGAGCTCTGGTGGCCTGCAGGGTTGTGCCATCTACATAACGCGGACTGTTAATAGATCTTCCACCAATCCTGATGCCACACTTCTCCTCATAGAGCCCAGCCTCTCAGATAATCTGTCTGCATACAGGTTGAAAAGTTATGGAGATAGGACACATGCCTGGCGTACACCTTTCCCAATTTTGAACCATGCAGTTTCCCTTCTCTGTTCTGACGACTGCCTCTTTGTCCAAGTATAGGTTTCACATTAGAACGATCAAGTGTTCTGGGATTCCCATTCTTCTCAGAGTCAGCCACAGTTTGTTATGACCCACACAGTCAAACGCCTTTGCATAATCAATGAAACACAAATAGACATTCCTCGGGTACTCCCTACTTTCAGCTAAGATCCATCTAACATTAGCTACAATATCCCTAGTACCACGACCCCTTCTAAACCCAGCCTGGACTTCTGGCAGTTCTCTACTAATGTGCTGTTCCAGTTGTTTTTGGATCATCTTCAGTAGAATCTTGCTTACATGTGAAAACAATGGCATTTTTCTAGTTTCCACACTCTGTTGGGTCAAATGCTTGCTGCAAAGGGTCAAGGACTACAGCCTTCAGTATGGACTGAGGCTCAATGTCAATAAGACAAAGATTCTCACCACTGGACCAATTGGTAGCATCAGGATGGATGGCGAAGAGATTGAGATTGTTAACAACTTTAGTCTGCTTGGCTCCACAGTCAACACTCTTGGCACCAGTAGCTAGGAAATCAAAAAACGTATTGCGATGGGAAAGTCTGCTGTTAGGGACCTTTCCAAAGTACTGAAGAGCAATGGTATCTCTCTGGCAACTAAGGTGCGTCTGATAAAGGCTATGGTCTCTGCAATCACTTGTTATGCATCAGAGAGTTGGACAATGACTAAGTATAGAAGGAGAATTGATGCCTTTGAGCTGTGGTGCTGGAGAAGAGTATTGAATGTACCATGGACTGCCAAGAAAACAAACAGATTCATCCTGGAGAGGGTTAAACCAGGCTGCTCCTTGGAGGCAAGGATGCTGGGGCTTCGTCTGAAATACTTTGGACATGTTGTAAGGAGGGACAGGTCCTTGGAGAGGGATATCATGCTTGGGAGGGTGGAGGGACGGCACAAGAGGGGAAGACCCTCTATGAAGTGGACTGATTCAGTGACTGGGGTAATCAGGATGGGTGTGTCAGAGGCAGTGTGAATGGCACAGGATAGAGAAGAGTTTAGGGCTGTTGTACATAGGGTCGCTATGAGTCACAAGCGATTCGATGCCACATAATAATAACAACAACAACAACTGGTTGGCCTAGTGGCAGGAAGCTGCACTGTAATCCCAGAGGCATGAGGTTCAAATTCACCGGAAGCTCTGCTGGAGAAGGAGGCGCAATCTCCTCCTGTACAAGTTAGATCCAATTTGACAGTACAAACACACACAGAAAAAAGTACGGCCATTTGAACATTCTGCTGTAAAGGGTCCGGTTTCTCAGTCTCACTACTACTGACACTTTTAGGGGCATATAGTTTTTATTGTGAGGGCCTATTTTATGCATTTTATGAGTTTAGAAGCATCCCTAGCCTCTATTTACTAGATGCAAACTGTGATAATAAAAAATGTTTCCAGATCTTGCCAAATGCTCTCTCATGTGTGGGCAAAACTAATACCACTCCTTTGCAGAAAAACTACTTCTGTGCAGAGAAAGGTTGTTTCATATTTGTGTGAGAAACGTGCTTGGAGTTAGTTGTAAAGGACGAAGAGTTATATACTTAATGACACATATGCAATCCCTTTCATTTCCATAACAAAAGACATCCAAATGGCTTATACCTTTTACTAGTATAAAATAATGCTAAGACTGGATCTAATTCTTGTCCTTCAGTTCAATTCTTATTTATGAGTAAATTCTCAACAATGACACTACTAGGCAAAGAGCAGTAACATGAGTTTGTGTTGCCAAACTGTCTTCACAATAGATTACTTTTCAGTGCTACCAACAATGTCTGAATGCATCTATTTCCTCTAGTTAAAGATCTCCCTCTCTAACAATATGAACATCTAGAAGAAAAGGTCACATTTATTAGCTCATCTCCAACCCAAGGACACAATCTTGTAAATAACAGGTATTGAACATGTGACCTGACTTGAACAGAATCTCCCAGCAGCACATCTCACCCAGCTTTCTCTAAGTGGTGGTGCTGTGTAGCACTGAGTCAGAACTGACCCACAGCTCACCATTCAGGGGGTTTTCATAGGCAGTTAATCACACAGGAAAAGACTGTCCATCTTTCTCCCTGATGGATTCAAACAGTTTGCCTTTGGGTTGGCAGTGCAACCCCTTACCCTAGGCCACCACAGCTCTCTACTCTCTAAGTAGACACCTAATTAATCAACAAACAGATGTGAAGTGCCCAAGTGGGTGGGTCCAGAAGCCTTCTATTTTCCCTACTGGCCCAGGACTCACGCTTTGGGGATTGCCACGCTTAGCCGCACTGGTTTAGACCCCAGTCCTACTGCTCCCTGGCACTCAGTCAAGGCTCGCTTTTGCTCCAGTTCATCTGTAAATTTCACAAACCCGTAGCCCCTGTAAAAGAAAAAAAAATCAAACAAAAATTAGTACTGAGAACACTGCATTGCAGTTACTTAATATGTCTCTTTTAGCCATAGTCTTATAACTCTCATCAAAAGATTAAGTGGGACCAGGTAAATAAAGGGAGAGCATAGCCCACAGGGAACTGTGCTGCTAATCCAAAGGTGATACCTTTCAGGTGGTTCAAAACCACCAGTGGGTGTTGTATGAAAGGAGAGAAGGTTAGCACTCCCCTTGACAAGGATGGAAGAGGCCCTGTGGGCCTTTACAACACGTATACGGTTAAGGCATTGCCACCTACTTCGTGGCATCTAACCAAAACCACAGTGGCTCCAGGGCAAAAGGAGAGGCAATTGTTTTCACAGCCTCTCACTGGAGAATCAGCCTTGAGTATCAGTTTTGACTCAACAGCAACGAGTTAGTTTGAGATGCTTAGAGTTTTTTTTTTTAAAATGCAAAGAAAGTGTTTATAGCCCATTTAAGGGACTGCATAGCTTACAAATAAGATGCACAGCACTTAATGGATTGTTGTTAGGTGTTGGCAAGTCAACTAAGATTCATAGTGACTTTTTCAATTAATTTTAGATCTGAACCTTGCCCAACCTTGCACCGTCCTCACAATCTTTGATAAACTCAAGCCCACTGTCACAATCACTGTATCAATACATCTTGTTGATGGTCTTTCTCATTTTCTCTGATATCCCATATTTTCCAAGGAATGGCCTCTCCTGATCATATGTTCAAAGTATGTGGGACCAAATTCCACGATCCTTGCCTCTAAGGAGCCTCATGGTAGCACTTCCTCTAAGACAGATTTGTTTGTTCTTTTAGCAGTCTGTGGGATATTTAGTACTCTTCTCCAACACTACATTTCAAAAGCATCTATTCTTCTTCTATCCTTACTCACTGTTCAACATCCATATTCAAAGGAAGTAATTGAAAACATCTTGTCTTGGATCAGGTGCACCTAAGTTTTTAAATTTATATCACTGCTCTTTAGCAGTGTGGAGAGGTCCTGGGCAGTAGAATTTTCCAGTGCAACTTGTCTTTTGATTTCTTGACTTCTGATACTCTATGGGTGGAATGTTCCAATAAAGTATATTGGACCCTTCCAATAGATTTGGTCAGTTTTATCATGCTCCTAGGCCTAAAAGAGCCAATTTCAAGAAGAGGGAGCTCACTACTAGCAAGAAAGAAAAGGTAAGAGTGGAGTAAATCTTTTAGGCCCAAAGACCCTGTGCTGGAAATCTCCTTGACCCAGGAGAAAGATAACACTGATACAGCAAGAAGTAGTGACAGAGAAACAGTAGTAGCATAAACAAACAGACCAGTAGGCAACACCATGGTAAGGTTCCAAGGCAACAGAGAAAGAACTGTTTGTGTTCAAGCAGCAGACTATTAGAATGGGTTGCCTCCAGGTATTTGGTAGAGCTAAGCATCAGAGAACTGGACAATGACTAGGGAGGACAGAAGGAGAATTGATGCCTTTGAGCTGTGGTGCTGGAGAAGAGTATTGAATGTACCATGGACTGCCAAGAAAACAAACAGATTCATCCTAGAGAGGGTTAAACCAGGCTACTCCTTGGAGGCAAAGATTCTGGGACTTCATCTGACATACTTTGGACATGTTGCAAGGAGAGACAGGTCTTTGGAGAGGGACATCATGCTGGTTAGAGTAGAGGGACAGCGCAGGAGGGGAAGACCATCTATGAGGTGGATTGATTCAGTGACTGGGGTAATCGGGATGGGTGTGTCAGAGGCAATGTGACTGGCACAGGATAGAGCAGGGTTTAGGGCTGTTGTACATAGGGTCGCTATGAGTCACAAATGACTCGAAGGCACATAACAACAACAACAAGCTTTCTTCGATAGCACTTAACAAAAACAACATAGAGAGAGCTCAGCTGGCTTAGTGGACAGAAAGCAATGCTACCAAGCCAAAGGTGAGTGATTTTAATCTGCAGCCCTCAGGCCTGGTTTTAATTGTTTTTGGTCAAACATTCTTCCAAGTGGTATAGCACCGGTCTGTCCATTTGCTGTGCAGAGGTAACTCGTGGTTGCTATGATGCTGAACACTGTGACACTGATGTGTCAAATGCAATAATGGTTACCCTTGGTGGACAGTGTTTGGAGGAGCTCCATGATTAAAACAAGCTTGGAAGCAGGAATGGCATCCACTTCCGAAATAGGTTGCTTCCGTAAACCCTATTAACTAACATGGAGAAAGAAAGTTATATAAGTGTTTAGGTCTTTCCTTTGACAGCACTTAACAACAACAAACTTGCTGATTAATGAACTAAATAGTGGAGCACCTTCGGTCCAAGGCTTACTGGTGAAGTAAGCTTTCTAACACTTGCCTGTGCAGGGCAGAATTTGGGCTAGCCCAAGATGCCCAAGGAGCCTAGGCCTAAGAGTCCAAGGGCCAGGGAGAGGGCTGCCTGTGGACATGGCTAAGAAGCTGTCCTGACCAAATAACTGTAGCTCAAATCCTTTCTGGTTCTGAATACTGTTACTGATCCTTGTTTTTGTTGTTATTGTGTCCCATCGAGTCAGAATTGACCCATAGCTGACCCTCCAGCAGGTTTTCAGAGGCAGTTAATTGCATGGGAGGAGACTGCCCATCCTTCTCCTGCAGAGAAACTGGTGGCCTCAAGCCACAAGCTTCAGGACTGCAGCACAGCTTCTTGCCACTAAGCCACCAGACCCTACTACTTCTCTAACAAACCCTATAATTACAAGTTATTTATGAGTTCCAGTGACCAATGCAGGGAATTATCAAACTCAGTAAAGAGGTAGAAAGTGTTGTGGGAAGGACAGCTTGTAGTCAGAATTGGTAAAAAGTTTGAGAAGAGGAGGTATCAATGATCTCCACTTTGGAGGAATCACCTTGAGCTGTTGCTGCTGATGGTGATTCTCCCTCCTCCTGGGAGCAGTAGATCTTTGACACTGTACATTATTTTTATAATCACAATTGTGATCAAGGTCAGGAACGCTAAAAGGAGAGGGTTCTTAGGAGGGAAGGAAGGAGGAGAGAAATAAGGAGAAAGACTGTGAGAGATACACACTATCAAACTACTTGGGAAAAGTTAAGATCCAAAAGTGAGGGTGAGCCCCTGAGCAGTGATTCAAACACTGGACAACTAAGAGGTCCGCAGGTACCAGATGCTCTGCTGGAGAAGGAGGGGGCAATCTCCTCCAGTACCAGTCAGATCTGATTTGACAGTACACGTAAAAAAAAATGTAAAAATAAAAGAGGTCTGCAGGTATGCCCACTAAGGTTCATTCACCATGCTCAAACTTTTTCACTGATGGGCTATTACCTCTTTACAAATAGTAGCTTCAAGTCAAACTTAGTTGATGTATAGCTACTATTCCTACCATTATCACACAGTTTCAGAAGTTCAATTATTATTTACAAAGGCTGCCATGAATGCCAAGTATTGTACTGGGCACTGGGATCTAGCAATCACAAGACATATAAAGTTCCTCTCTCCTGAGCTCATATCTTATCTGGGGATAAATGAATGATAGTCAACATTTTCTCAGCACTTACATCCCAGACAATGTGCAGAGAATTTTACTAGGGATTTCTCACTAACCTATTCAACAATTTTAATTTCTTTTACAAAAGACAGGCTCAAGGGCAGGGAGAAAAATACAACAATGAATGAATGGAAACCTTAAGTCTCTGTAAACTTTCACTAAAATTTAAAAAAAAATTTTTTTTAAAAAAAGCAACAAAAAAATCTTTAAAGGATTTTTCACTTTTACCATCCTGCCAGGCTTAAAGGGAGCCAGTCCCAGGTTGAATAAAGTGAAAGACTTCACTATCATTGGGAAGAAGAGCCAAGAGCAGAGCATATCCTCTGGGCTTCAAGTCTTTGAGCTGAGAACGTCCAAGGCTCAGGAGATAGAAATAACTGAAACACCAAAGGCAGGGTGAGATGGTGAGCAGTGGCAAGTATGTCACAATCCAGTGGCAGCAGCACCAGAGGAGCTGTACAAGATGATATTTTGTATTAGGCTTCTCAGCCCACTGTGAGTCAGTCACAGGGCGCATTGTTGGCCTACAAAGAAAGCTGAGTGCTTCTGGTAGAGTTAAACTGTAACTTTTGCTGAGCAGGCCAGGCTGCGAACAAGGGCAAAGAGCAACATTAAGCAGCTTTCCTGGGGACCTTCCTTCATTTCATTTCTCCTTTCAGGGAAGGAGCTCCGTCCCTTTGGGGATGTAACTTTCTAATAAATCTATCATTACTATTTTACCCTAAAAAAAAAAAACCCCAAAAGGTACTTTCCTTGTTTGAAGAACTGTATCTTGAGTTTTTCCTTTTTCTTCCAAGTTGATCCTGATCCTGAATTATAACTTATTACTCTAATCATAATGCATTAAGTGTTGGGTTGCTAACCAAAAGGTGGTGGCTGTTGTATGCTGTCAGGTTGCCACCAACTCACAGGTGACCCTCTAGTGGGTTTTCAGAGGCAGTAAATTGCACGAGAGGAAACTGCCCATCTTTCTCCTGTGAAGTAACTGGTGCATTCAAACCACATGCCTTTCGTTTGACAGTGCATTTCCTTATCACTAAGCCACCAGAACTCAAAGCAGAAGGTAAACAGTTCAAATTTATGAACCAATCTGTGGGCAAAGGATGAGGCAATGTGCTCCTGTTAAGAGTCACATATACTCTTAGAAACCTCATGACAGAATCTGGAATCAACAACAGTGCGTGGGAACTTTACTAATTACATTCATAATCATGAGTCTGATCTGAATTTTTTGTGTGGGCACTGCAATAAATTAATAAACTCAACATAGAAGTAGAGGCCATGAGAGAGACAGATGATATAAGAAATTGTAAAAAGGCTGGTGAGTAGAAATACATCTAATCACAACTTTGTTAGAATCAGCTGTGAGCTGACAAGGATCTTAAGTCTGTCTCCTTTCAATTTGTGTAGTAAGAGGAAGTCTGATACCATGTAAGTTTCACAACCCTGTTTTATAGATAAGAAAACAGGGTCAGAGAAAGAACTAATTTGTTTACTGTACTACCCCGACGTGGTACTGGAGCTTTGAGTCAAAACAGGTAGTTTGAAAAAAAAAAAAATAAACCAACACAAAAAAAAACAGGTAGTTTGGCTCCAGAGCCTGCTATATGGCCTCTCCATAGCACATCCATCAATAGAGGAGGATCAGACTTAACAAAGTAAGTAACAGTAACAGGTAAGGCCTTACTTAGACACGCCTGTCTGGTCCAAAACCACCTTGCCTCCCCGACAGGAGGGGTAGACTTTGACGAAGAACTCATACAGCATGCCATCATCCACATCTGGGGTTAGATCCCCCACAAAGAGGGAGTATTCAGGGCTGAGAGAAAAAGAACAATAAGATTCCGAAACAAAGATCCGAACATTTGGTCTAAAGATCTTTTCAGGCTCTTCCAGGTAAACCTTTAAGTCCACTCACTAAGATTCTAATACATGTTGTGAGTCCTAATTAATCCTGGCAGAAGAATTATGGAAGTAATCCTTAACTCACAGCAAAAAGTCTCCTTACCATCAAATAAGTACAGGTGGGTGAAGGATTCCATTATCACAAATAAAGGAATAGGTCAGAGGCATATCTCTGGGAAAAACTATAAAATGTATACTCATCATATGTTTTTAATTTAAATGTTAAAAATGAAAATAAGAATTGAGTCCTATCGCCTAAAACGTAATTAAAATGAAACTCCAAATTTCTAGAACTAATGTTTAATTAACTCATTTTATCTCAAACAGTAAATATTTTTTAGGCTTTGTGAAGTCATTGTTGCATATTCTTTTTATCTATTTTTACAATCCCTTAAAAAGTAAACTTTATACAAATGCTCAGCTGGAGAAGGAGGGGTAATCTCCTCCTATGCCAGTCAGATCTGATTCGATAACAGATGATAACACAACAACAAAAAAACAAACTACAGTTCTTAGTTTGTGGGTATTTATCATACTATAATCTGCCTGCCTCCATTCCAAAATTTTCCCTCCCCTCAAACTCAAACTGAATTTTGGTACTATTTGTCTCATTCTTTGAAAAAAGTCAGAATACCTAAAAGGACAATGAAAAAGTTACCAAAAGCTCTACAACCCAATGGTTATCACAAGTAGCATTTGACATGTTATTGCCTTTTACCTATGGTTCTTTTAAATTTAAGAAACTGAATTAAAAAAAAAAAGGAACTGGGTATGACTCACTGCATTTTGTTTTTAGCATTTTTTTCACTTTTAACATATTGCTAATATCTTAACATAGCAATATTCTACTATAGCATAATTTATTACTGGATATATAACATTCTATCTCATGAATAAATAAACATACCTCAAAGATAATGAGGGTTCCATTCCAGATCATCACAAATATCACAAAGAAACAAGTCACACCAATTTTTCTGGTTTCCCAGTGTATAAAGTTATGTTTATACTATACTATAATCTATGAAGTATGTAATATTGTTATTAAAAGATAAGAAAGTGTGAGCTTTACCAAAATGTAACATATGACAATAGGGTTGTTAAAATACTTAACCTGTAAAATATGCAGCATCTGGAAAAAGCAATACAGCAAAGTGCAATAATATGAGGTGTGTCTGTACTGTAGTTTAACAATTTCTGTTATTATTTTCATTTTTCTCTTCATTTTCTCCATTATAATCTTTCATGGAACACTTTGGAGAATAACCTTTGAACACATCTACTAATTAAGAAGTAACTGCATGGTCAATGACCATTAAAAAATGTAAAGCCTTTACACATAGTTCAAACAGGTCCTGGCAGTACTGCATCAGTTTTTATATCTAGAGCAGGTGATAGTTATAGGGAGAAAAAAAATCTCTATATTGTGGGAAGTGACAGAGCAGAAGGTTGAGGTAAAGACCAAAAACAGAAGCCAGGCCTTGCCAACAACAGAGATAAAAACGGGTATAGTACTTCAGGAGAGGCAAGGAACAGTCAAACTCACTCAGCTCCCCACTCTCCTCTCTGGCAGAGATGGCACAGTGATACATACAACCTCTGTTCAGTCAAGTCCTAGAGTCCGAAGCTACCATGATGTTTCTGTACACTTACCTATTATCTGGTTGTTTCCCATAAGTTGCATAGTTCAGTTTAAAACGTTTTGCCTGAAAATTTAAAAACAAACAAACTAAAACAGAGAAAAGTGTCTGAAAAGTCAAACAATATTTGAAAAAAACTGAAATAAATTACCTTGGCCAAAACATCTCCCCCTCTCTAAGCCTCAGCTTTTTCTCCTGTTTAAAATGAGGGGGTTGCCCGGATGACTGCTAAGGGCACTGCCAGCTCCATGATTCTATGAGCCCGGTGTGCCAGCCTGGTGCAGCGGTAAGCTAAGTAACTGTGGGAAGAGCAGAATGTAACTCTCTTGAAACGTATCCTCACTGCTGCCAGCCTGTTCTATTTTCTCAAACAGGAAGGAGATCTAGGTTTTCAAATTTTCCATTAATGGAGGCAGTGACTCAGAGTGGAAAGGGCATGAATTTTGGAGACAAACAATCTTCAATTTGAATTCTGGCTCTGCCACTTACTATCTGTAAGTGGCCTTGGGCAAATTATTTCATTTCCCTGAGTTTTAGTTTCCTGCTCTGTCAAATCAAGATAACAATGCCTACTGTACAGGGTTGTTATATAATCAGAAAATGATATCAATGTATACTATAGGTTTTAAATAGATGACAATTGTGATGACAATAAAAATATTCATCATCATTATTATCTAAATGTCCTTACAGGTGTGGCTCCTGGTAGGGGTTTCCCATTAATTTTATGCAAACACTTCTCCGCTGTAGCCAAATCTGCAAATTCTACAAAGCAGTAGCCGGCTGGAATCCTAGAAAGCAAACAGTAAAATAGGGTTAAGGGTACCTGAATAATATCATGAAAGAGGAAATGGTCTTAACTAGTTACAGTGCACACTGTTTTTGTTCCCTATCAAATTTCAGGTCAAGACTAATTTACAAACCTCAGTATAATGACTGCCAATCTCCACCCATGCAGCAAATATTTATTTATGTACAGTATCATCCACGAAGTAATCTTGCCAAATACGTTTTAATGCTACCCAGTCAACCTTTAGATCTAAACTGATGCTTGTAGGAAGTACTAGGGACAGAAGAACAAGTAAAATATCACCAAACCTAGAATGTAAAATCTCAGGTAGAACAACTAGCCTTTTTCACTTTTCAACAGTCTATGCTGAAAATGCACAACAATGAATAAATAATTAAAAAAAAACCCAAAACGTCAATACTTGCACAACCATGTTTATTGCTGCTTTGTTTACAATAGCAAAGATCTGGAAACACCCAAGTGCCCATCAACAAATGAATGGATTGAGAAGCTGTGGAATAGTCACACAATGGAAAACTATGCTGCACCGAAAAACAAAAAACTCATGAAATATTGTACAAAATGGGTGACCCAAGAGGACATTATGCTAAGTGAAATATCTCAGTCACAAAAGGACAAATACTGCATAGTGCCACTGTTGTAAAACGGGACTGACATCAGGGTTGGGGAGAATCTAAGAAAAGAAGGGATAAATAATGTATACTGCATTGAAATAGATGCGGGAGAGAATTATTTAAAAGGAATATAGGATTAAGTATTATTTTCATAAGATTCCAGAAAAAGAAATGCATAGTAAAGTGGACTGTGGACTTGGGGGGGGGGGGTTGTATAACAATGTAAGAATTTTTTTTTCTTTTCAAAGAGAAAAATGAACTGGGAGTGAAGGGTGGGCAAGGAGGAAAATTTGCAACAATGAATGAATGGGGGGAAAATTAAATGGAAAGAATATGCTGTAAAAAAATACATGTTGCATTAAAAAATAATTAATTTTTAAAAGTAGTGAAAGAAAAGAAAGAGGTAAGATTTTCTATATTAAAGAGATATAGAAGACAAAACTAAATGCGATATAGGAGCACTGACTGCATCCTTCACTTAGCAGGAGCAAAACCTCAAAACAAAAATCATCTACCAGGTACTCTGGGGACAGCTATAAAAATTTAAATGTAGACGGGCTGTTACACAGGATTAGAACATTACTACTATTTTTTTTAAAGAGTGATATAGGCATTCCAATCTTATATAAATATATAAAGATATACAATCTTTAATTTTGTTTCACACTCTTTTCCGCTCCCTCCCTATGTTCAATTGTGGTCCTGAAAAGAGGAGTGAGCAGTGATAGCCAGGCACCATTTAGGTCTTCTGATCTCACAGTAGTAAAGTCTGGGGTTCCTGCAGTTCATTAGTTCTTGTGTCTTTGATTTTCTTTACTTTGCTTCAGGAGAGAAACCAATCACGACATGTCCAAGATGGCAGTTATCCTAAATGCACCACATCTTTTGCTCTGTTGAAAGCCTCTGCCAAGAACTGTTTAGACCTGGGTGGAATCTGTTCACCACTTGCAGGTTCCCTTCTCCATTCATAAAGGGGGAGGGCAGTGACACCTACTTCAAATTACAGTATGACCACTTACTGGGGCGGTGGGGGTAAAGGTGATGCAATGCTGGAATTGGGGACGCTGTCCCTGGTCACATGGTCTTTGGTGAGGTGCGAGGTCTGGACTTGGGGGTAGGGAGACTTTGGTGGGGGAATGTGCCAGCCAGCTGTGTTCCATCCCTGGGCAAGCCATGTTCGGCCTCCGGGGTGAGCTCCTCAGCCCTCAGGTTGTGCCATCTGACCCCTGGGTAGAAAAAACTGCCTAGGGTGTACAGAGAATTTTATCTCGGCTACTTTACTCCACCCTCTCCTCTACTACACCCGTAAGTAAGACCCCCAAAGCCCTTCTATTTGTAACTCACAAGTTTGTTCTCTCTAGGTTTGCTCCCTTTTCTATAGGTAACCTTAATACTGAGTTTTACTCCAGACCTGACCCTGAACCCAGTTCCAGAGACAAAAAGGAAATACAACTGCCAGCTAAGGAAGCACAGGAGGATGGAGCCTCTGGGTTCAGCCAGCCATCCCCACTGGACCCACCTGGGAAAACACTTTGCAGTCCAGAGGAGAGTAAATGTCAGGAAAATATCTTCTAACAGAACAAGAAGGCAAGCAGCTTTAACCCAAGACCACCAGTAAGGTGATAAAGTGTGCTCCCTTTCCCCCTTCACATCAATGCCCCTGTTCAGCATGAAAAAGCCAGAGAGTCTGCACCCAATTCCCAAATGAGAAACCCACAAGTGAATAAGACAGTTTGTTTAATCACCATGGGACTATGCTTACCATTGCCCTGTAACATCTGGTCCCCACTGGATCCTTTTCATTTCCTTTACCTGCTCCCCCCACCAACCAAACTGTGCAGCCCTGCAACTGCATCCCTGCAATTTTCATCCCTGCCCGTCCTCACCCTTCTGCTCCCAACCCTCACCTCCTTGTATCTCCAACATGTTTTTCCCAGTATTTTCTTTTTTTTTAAAAAAGTATGGGAGAGGGGAGGGGTGGACAGGGAGAAAAGTGCAACAATAAATGAATAGAAATCCAAAGTCTCTGTAAATTTTTATTAAAATTAATATAAAAATATAATAAAAAAGAAGTATGGGAGCTCTATATCTGATTGCATCCTTTAGCACTGTGCTGTTATTTTTCCTTGTACCTTAAATTTTCCTTTATTTTCTACGATCTTGATTTTCAGTTACTCTTTATTATTTTTTTTTACTCTTTGTTATTCTTATAAGCCATTTCAAAGTCTTTGTAAAACAAGGTAAGATATGAACACAGTATGTCTGTAGGTACTGCCACAAATAGTGTATTCATTATAAATTGGAAATCACAATTGCACCCAGGATTTAAATAAAGATTAAAATGTAAGAATCTATGTCAGTGTCTTACAACACAGAAGCTACTACAGAATAAATTTTCATAAAACAACATGTAACAGGAAGTTAGACACTGTAATAAATTAACATTAATCAATGATAATGTTATAAATGTCTATGATTGATTGAATGAAAAATCATGATGATTTGTAAACCTTAATTCAAATTAAAAATTAATAATTAAAAAGAAAAGAAGAACTGTTTGTGCCAATAGCTGACAATGCAGGGTTTTCTATCTACAGAAGTGGAAAGAGAAACATTTAAGTCTGCCTGATATACTAGAAATATGGTGCCTGGGTAATGGGTTTTGATGCACAAAATACTTGTTCACCAAAGAGCCATGGATTTTGACACACATCACATCTTTCATCTCTAAGTTAAACAATTTAGTAGAGCACCTGGCACAGAACACTGAGTAAATAGAAGTCAAATAGGCACAGGAATCTTCTCATTTCTGACAAGAACCTTAAGGAAAAGTAAGATCACAAAAAGAAAGAAGAATCTGGGAGACAACAGGATGCTATCATTTGACAATATTATGCATTTTGTTTTGATTATTTATAGTGTAACTCTCCCACAAGAATGACACAAGCTGTGTGAAAGTAGGGACTATGCCTGGTTTGTTTCAGTCATGAATCTCAGAATCTCACACAGCAGTGCATAGTTGGATGTTGTTCACAGAGACTCTATAGAACTGCCCCAGAGGGCTTTATGAGTTATAATTTTTACAAATGCAGATCATCAGGTCATGTATCCTGTGGAGCCAGAGCTGCTGGAGAGTTCGAACTGTTGACTATTTAGTTAACAGCCAAGTGCTCAACCATTATGCAAGGGCTCCTTAGCAAGTCTCTATTCTTTAAAAAATTTAATGGCATGGTAATTAAGGCCACTTACTAGCTCTGAGTAGGTTCTAGTTCTAGTTTGTCATTTAATAGCTATGTAACTTTAAGGTAGTTATGAATATCTAACAATAGTAAACTATCGGGATACTGAACAGAGGTTTCTGCTATGATTTTAAAAAGATAATGAGTGTAAAGTGTTTATAACTGAGTATATTATAACCTGCTCCTATTTACTGAGTGTAAGTCACATGCCAGACAGTTCTAAAAACTGACTATGAGTTAATTTATTTATCCTCACCTTAATTCTATTAGGTTATACTTCTTTACTGTCATCAAATCGGAACCAACTCATAGCTGACATCCCAATGGGTTTTTAGAGACTGTATATTGCACAGGAGATTGCCCATCATTATCAATGAGGATTCAAATTGCCCAGCTTTAAGTTGGCAGCACAGCTTACTACACATTAGGCCACCAGAACTCCCTATTAGGTAATAATAATATAGCTGTTATTGTGCCATCAAGTTGGAACTGACTGGGTTTTCAGAGGCTATAAATTGCAGGGGAGGAGACTGCCTAACTTTCTCCCGTAGAGGAATAGTGGATTAGAATTATGTTCCTTTGTATTGGTAGCACAACTCACCACTAGACTACCAAAGTTACCACAACAATAATAATAATTAGTAATAATTAAAATCAGTTGCATTCTATGCATCAGAGATTTCAACTTATGGTGACCCCATGCATTTTAGAGTAGACTTGTACTCACTCCATAAGGTTTTAGTTTGGTTTTTTTTTTAACTTTTTTTTATTATTTAAGTGAGTTTCTATAGAAAACTGGCTTTCCCTTCAACTATTTACACATATTATATTTTGGAACCTCAATCATAATCCTCACATTGTATTAATACTCTTTCTTCCAAGTTCCTCCCTATGAGTCTTATTTCCATTTATCATTCTATATTCTGCCTTCCTGTCTTCTGGGCTTTAGGATTACAAAAATGCTACCCATTTGAATACCTCTCCAAAGTTATTGTTCAACTTATCTGCTGTTGTTTGGTGAAATCAAGTCAGTGCCAACTAAATGTGACTCTATATGTAACTAATGGAAACCTTGACCAATCATGCACCATCCTCTTGGATCTCTGTTGTGATTAACCTACTGTTCACCTTTTTTTTAAAAAAAATCATTTATTTTATTATTTTGTGTGCATGTGTACCATCAAATCGGATCTGACTGGTACAGGAGGAGATTGTCCCTCCTTTTCCAGCAGAGCATCTGGTGGAATTAAAGTGCGTACCTCTGGGATTCCAGTGCAGCTTCTTGCCACTAGGCCACCAAAACTCCTTTACTGTCCACCTTATAGGCCTGTCTAGTGGTTGAGGGAAAGTTGAGTCACAGGACCTGAGAGTTAAGTTTCAGGAGCAAAGAGTGACAAGGAGCTATAGTTTCTAAGAATTCCATCAGTTGATAAAGTCAGTAAGCCTGGTCATTTTTATGCTTGAGTTTGTTCCACATTTTTCCACCAAGTCTACTGAGATCTCTTTCAAAGTTGTCGACAATGGCAGCCAGTACCACCTAGTTTTTCTGGTGTCAGGGATATATAGAGGTTTAGGTGAGAAAGCATTACTACTGTGGACTAATTATTTCATGCATTTGACTTCCTTTACTTGCTCCAGACAAGAAACCAAAAAGACCATTTATAAGTTTTTATGATTCCAAATTGGTGGAAGAGTCATCAACAACCTGTGTTCTGCAGATGACACAACCCTGCTTGTTGAAACTGAGGAGGACCTGGAGCTCTTGCTACAGAAGGTCAAGGATTGCAGCCTCCTATATGGACTGAAGCTCAACATCAAGAAAATAAAGATTCTCACCACTGGGCCAACTTGGCAGCATCAGTATGGATGGTGAAGAGATTGAGATAGTTAACAGTTTTAGTTTACTTGGATCTACAGTCAACACCCTTGGTAACAGCAGCCAGGAAATCAAGAGACAAATTGCATTGGGGAAGTCAGCTGTGAGGGACCTCTCAAGAGTACTGAAGAGCAATAACATCAGGCTGGAGACTAAGGTGAGCCTGATCCGGGCTATAGTCTTCACAACTACATTCTATGCATCAGAGAGTTGGACAGTGAATAGGGATGACAGAAAGAGAATTGATGCCTTTGAGCTATGGTGCGGGAGAAGAGTACTGAATATACCATGGACTGCTAGGAGAACAAACAGGTTTTTCCTGGAGAAGGTGAAGCCGGAATGCTCTTTGGAGTCAAGGATTCTAAAGCTTCATCTGACATACTCTGGGCATGTTGCAAGGAGGGACTGGTCCTTGGAGAGGGACATCATGTTTGGCAGAGTGGATGGGCAGCACAGGAGAGGAAGACCTTTGATAAGATGGATCAATTCTGTGACTGGAGTGGTGGGAATGAGTGTGTTTGAGATGGGGAGGTTGGCACAGAATAGAACAGAATTTAGAGCTCTTGTATGTAGGGTCGCTATGAGTGACAAGTGACTCGATGGCACCTAACAACAACAACTCAATAAAGCTGGACAGAGACTTTGTGGACTGTTATTCTGACTGAACTTGATGTTCCCCTACACTATGGTCCTGAGGCCCCAGAATTCACGATTTTCAATGGCTATGATCTTTCAGGGGACTGACAGGCTTTTCTCTCAAGGTATTTCTGGGTAGACATCAACCCGTAATCTTTCTATTAGTAGAGTAACTATGCCACTCAGCAACCCCTTTAATTATAATACCGCTGCCATCTTTCCAAAGGGAATGAGACATAAAAGTAACTTGACCACCATCACACAAGAAAAAACACAACAACACGCAACTCTTTCAATTTGGTTCTGGAATCCCATCCTTATGCAGTTGGTCATACTTATTTTCAATAATCCCTCAAAATGTTAAGTTTTTATATCATTCTAATTCACTGTTACTAGACACGGTGGGAAGTCTTTACACTGTGATGTTCACACTCAGCATTCCGAATGACACTTGCAGGATGATCTATTTAGAGGAACAGAGGTGAAAGGAGATAACGTACCCAGTGAGGCGGTTTCGGATAATTTTGACGCTCACGACAGTTTCTCCCATGGTGGCAAAGGCTCTAGAGATGAAGTTCTCATCCATATAGGGCTCCAGCTGTGGGCAAACAAGAGCAGAGCGGCTCAGGCCAGCACGTGGGCTCCCCATTTGCGGTTTCCTCACCCCGCAGTGCACAGGAGGCTGCACGCTGCTGGGAGTGCAGGAGTTTGCATCAGGGAGGCGGCAGGAGTGCTCCTTCAACTCCCTCCCTCCAAACCTACTCCCATTTGTGGCGCCTCTCCCTACAACCGAGGAACACCATCTCCCCAGTCAGAATCCCAGCCCGCCTCAATCTTTTCAAAGTCTTCCCATTCCACCCTCCAAAAGAACCTCCCCTGCCCTTCTATGAACTCAGGTGGAGTCCTGGGGCCCCTCCCCCTCAGACTCAGCATCTAGTCTTAGATTCTGAGACTTTCTATTCTCTCCAAAAGAAACCCCTTCCTCATCACTCACTTCTACCCTTTTGGGATCTGAAGACTCCGCCCCCTCCCCTCAGAACTTCTGTGGCTTGCAACTCTGAGATTCCTCCTTCTCGAACCCGGGACGGCTGCTCTCACTTACGTCCCCCATCCACAGGCTGGCCGCCATGCCCGTAACGGGGCAGGACTCCTGTGGGCCGCACAGGCCGATGCCGGCCACTCTCGGCGTTCCCGGGGCCGCCACGGAGCATGCGCTCACGATCCCTTCTGCGCATGCTCAGAAAACCAGCTGCAGGGGGCGTGGCTGCGTGCTCAGTCCCGGGATTTTGATATTTTCTCCCGCGCTATCTGGAAGGGCCTGCGAGGCTGAACCGAAATCCTGCGGGGCAGCCGGGCAGCGGGGCTGGACAACTCAGTGTAGGCCGACAGTGTGAACTTCGCTGGGTTTACTCGAGTTTTACTCTGCCTTTATATGCACAAGTGTTGTCACAGGGGGAACCAGTCCTTGGAAAAAACATACCTGGAAAGGTGGAGGAGGATTAGATTGCTGTCGACGAGCAGAGGTTATAACCTTGTAAAGATGGCACAGAATCAGACAAGGTTTTGATCTGTTGTACAAAGGGTTGTATCAGTCAGTGTTGACTGGAGTGCACCTAACAACAACCTAAAAAAGAATAATAGATGAAGTTGGGTGAAAGGAAAGGCAAAATGCTTTAACGGTTTGATTGGACATGGTGATTATATTAATCTCAATTAATGGTATAACGAACCCTATCAGAGGTAAGGATGACAGAAGAAAAATTGATGCCTTTGAGTTGTTCTGGAGAAGAGTATTGAAAATATCATGGTTTGCCAAGACAACAAACAGGTTTGTCCAAGGGGAGGTGAAACCAAGTTGCACCTTAAAGGCAAGGATTCTGAAGCTGCCTCATATATTTTTTTTTTACATTAGAATAAAAATTTATTTTGGTAAAGAATTTTTTTTTCATTAGCAAAAGTTGAAAATCTTCATATAAATCACCAGCCCCAAGCTTGGACTTCCAGTGGATCCAGCACATGGAATAAGAGTCTGTCACTTCTTGCCAGGTTTGGGGGCCTTTTCAAGGCCTTGAATGTATTTTCGAGGGAGCTGGTACTCATCAAGCAGCAGACGGCTGAGCTGGTGGACCTGGTTTCCCTGGATCTGGACCTGAAGGCTGTCCTTGGACCCAGGGGCAGGAGTGACAGTGGTGCCTGTTCTTTTTTTTTTTTTTATTATTATTAAATTTTATTCGTTTTAATGAACATTTACAGAGATTTTGGGTTTTCATTCATTCATTGTTGCACTGTTAGTGGTGCCTGTTCTGTGTGACTGCATCTTAGAGAAAAACGAACAGCAGTAGTCCTGAAATTCCCATGGGATAATCTTCTGACCAGATGTTTGGAAAAATTACACCCTGCCTATCAAGTGACCTTCCCTGGACAAGAGCCCATTGTGAAGAAAGGGAAAATCTGTCCAACTGACATCACCCTAGCACAGAGAGCGTCTAATAAAAAGGTGACCGTCGTCCGGAACTTGGAAGCCTATGGCTTGGACCCGTGCTCAGTGGCCACTATCATATTTTGGGCACGTGGCCAGGAGGAACTAGTCCTTGGAGAAGGGCATCATGCGTGGTAGAGTGGAGAGATGGCACAGGAAAGTAAGCTCCTGAATGAGATGTATTGACAAAGTAACTGGAGTAAAGCGGGTGTATCAGAACCAAGTGAGACTGGCCCAGGATAGGGCAGGGTTCAGAGGGTTATCACATAACAAAAATGGTATAAAACAAAATGTTTGTGAATGATTGTATGTTAAACCAATAGATTTACCACTTTCTACTGAAATTAAACGAAAACACAAGAATATATACACCTATAATTATAAAATATTAGTTTATTACAGGAAAAATGTAAATAAAAGCACTTTAAAAAAGTTAACCTCTTGCAACCCTTTGGTTTTTTTATTATTATTAAATTTTATTAGTTTTAATGAACATTTACAGACATTTTGGGTTTTCATTCATTCATTGTTGCACTGTTTTCTCTACCCTCCTCCCCAGTTCATTCTTCTCCCCCACCAATGTCTGTTTTAATTGTCCA